CCTAAATGGTCACAAAGGCCCAACCTGAACTGCTCCAAAGCCAGGAGCCAGGAGCTTCTTCCAGGTCTCCCATATGGCTGCAGGGTCCCAAGGCTTTAGACTGTCCTCTAGCACTTTTTCATGCCATAAGCAGGGAGCTGGATAGGAAGCAGGCCGCTGGGACATGAGCTGGTTCCCATATGGGATCCCAGTGTATGCAAGACAAGAACTTTAGCACTAAGCCACTGCCCTGGGCCCATAAATAAATCTTTTTAAAAAGTTTGTGTATGGAGATTTAGTCTAGCAGTTAAGTTGACACTTGAGAGGCTGGTGCTATGACACAGTCCATCAAGCAGTGGCTTGCAGTGCCACATCCTGTATAGGTTCTGGTTCCAGTCCTAGTTGCTATGCTTCTGATCCAAGTACTTGAAAATGTAACTGGCAAAACCCCAGAAGACGGCTCAAGTTGCTGGGCCAATATCTGGAATAAGCTCCTGGTCCCAGGCATTAACCTGGTTGATCCCATCAATGTGACAGTTTTGGGAGTGAACAAGTAGACTGCAGATTCATTCCTCTATGTGTTTCCTGTCTCTGCAACTCTGCTTACCAAATAAATAAACAAATCTTTCAAAATGGCACCTATGTTTTCATAATAACTTAATTTAACTTCTGGTCATGTTTACACAGTTGAGAAGGATGCATGCTCATGTGGACCACTGGTTAGTTTGAGGAAGGTTGAATAATGCGGGAAAGTGTATGAGACAACGTCCTCTAATCACCTTTTTTTTCCTTCCTGTATCTGGGAAAAGTGGGGAGAGAAGGGGAGAGGGCTGGTCTGAGCAGCTCAACCACATGAATACCCAGGAATGAGGGATGGCCACCCCATTGTCATCTCAGGGACCCTGATGTGGATGGAGCATGTTCTAAGGGTACTTCTTAAGTGGTTTTGATAGTTCTGAGATGCTGTTGATTTCGTAACTCCAAGGTTGAGGAAATTCTTCCAAAGACCATTGGCTGACATAGTCCACCTTAGAGTCTCCACACGCCCAGATACTGAGAGAGGAGTTAGAGTGGGTAGTAGGCAGTTAGGGTATTCTGGGTCCCCGAGTAAAAGAGAATTTCCCCACCATGTCTTGGATTCACCAGAGCACGTCTCTTCCAAGTATTGGCCATTACCTCCGGCCACTGTGGGAAGGTCTCAGGCTGATCTCTTTATCATTGAAAGGAGAGCAGGAAGAAGTAATACACATCTGCCTAAGGCCTGGAATGTCCTATGTGTGGCACCTCTGGCCTTTTGTCCCAAGGCCAGGTACCATGGAAACCAGGAATTTTCTTTGTTTATGGAGAAACATCTTTGAGGGGAACCTTTAAAAGGTGCATTCCCCACCATTAATACGGGTTCTTCTTCTCTTCCTGCCACTGTGGCAGGGGGTTCCTATTTTCCTCCTGCCACTATGGTAGAGGACTAGGGTCTTCTTTTTACTTTTCCTCCTGTCACTATGGCAGGGGGTAAGGGTCCTTTCTATCTCAAAACACCCTCCCATCACTAGGACGGGAGTCTTCTCAGCTTTTCTAATAAATCTTGCTTTAAAACTAAACTGTGTCCGCACGAAAATTCTTGTTTCCTGCGAGACAAGAATTTGAGGTTGCTGCCATACTCGGAGTCAAAAATCCTGCAACAATACTAGACGCCCTCTGTAGATCCCAATGAACTGGTTGTCATGTCCCACATGTACCTTGTGATACATCTGCGTCCTCTATCAGAGTGCCTGCATTTGGGTTGCAGTTTCCTTTCAATTCCAGTTCCCTGCCTCTAGGAGGCAGCAGGTGATGTTCAAGTACTTGAGAGCACACAGCAGATCCGGAATAAGTTGCAGTCTCTAGGTGTGAACCTGGCTCAGCCTCAGCTATTGTAGGCATTAGGGGAGTGGATCTGCCTATCAGCAATATTTGTATGTCTCTGCCTTTATGTTTTACAAATACATAGACTAAATGTTTCCCCCAAAATATCAATTAATTTATTTGAAGGTCAGAGTAGCAGAAAGAGAGAGAGAAAGAGAGGAAGAGGAAGGGAATAGAGAGAGAAGAGAGAGATAGGGAGAGACAGAGACGGAGAGAGAGAGAGAGAGAGAGAGAGAAAGAGGAAGAGAGGAAGAGAGAGAGAGATAGATCTTCCATCTGTTGGTTCATTTCCAAATGGTTGTAACAATCGTGGTTGGACTTGGCTATAGTAGGAGTAAGGAAGTCCATCTAGATTTCCCATGCATATGTAAGGGCCCCAGCACTTGGGTAGTCAGCACATTGCCTTCCCAATCATATTAACAGGGATCTGGTTCGCAAGCAGAGAAGTTGAGTCTCAAACCAGTTTTCTTTTTTTTTAAATAATAATTGTTTTTATTTTGTCAATAACATAGTTAATTTGGGCAAAAAGGGTCAAGGGCTACAGGAAAGTGGGTAAGACTATTATTTCCATATTGTTTCCTTCATATATCTGAGGTAGAGGGGGATATTGAGGGAGAAGCCCCACCCGGTTTCCCACCCACCCCAAGTTCCACATGTGGGGCATGCTCTGAGATGCTCGTTGAAGTGGTCAAACCAGTTTTCATATGGGATGCCATCATAGCAGGCCACTGTGCCGCAGTGCTGGTCCCAAATCAATCTTTTTTTTTTTTTTTAAGTTTTATTTGCACCTTATTTGAAAGGAATAAATGTAAGGAGTTCTTCCATGAACTGGTTCATTCTCTGAAATATCTGTAGCAGCTGTACAAATATCTGTAGTTGCTGTAGCAGCAGGCTAAAAGCCAGAATTAGGAACTCAGTATGCGTCTATGGGTAGCAGTGACACAAGTACTTGAACCATGGCCTCTTGTCTCTTAGCAGGAAGCTGGAATCAGCAGCAGAGTTGGGACCCAAACACAGGTACTGTAGATTGAATTGAGATTGTTGCATGTGCTGTTTTTACTATGTCAAACATATGCCTCTTCCATGACTGCCTTTTATGTTTCCTTTAGGACTCAACCAAATACTGAACTCTCACCTCAAATGTCACTTCCTCTAGCTTTCCTCCAAGTGAGACAGTAACACTCCCATTCACGTCTCTCATGCTTCATCTACTCTGAGGCACCTGACCTCACTGCTGGACACAGCCTTAGCTCATTTCTGATGACTTGTCAACTCCACGAGGTTCAAACTCCTGAAGGACAGTGACCACCTATTTTGCTTTCTTGCAGTTCCTAGAGCAGTGCCTGAGCTACAGAGCAGGTGCTTACAAGGTCTCTATTGAGGTGGATATCAATCTGATCCCACACTACAGATAGAAAATCTGAGACTTAGACAAGTGAAACCATGTGCCCAAGGTCTCAGAGCTGGGAGGTGGCACAGGCAGGATATGAATCCATATCTGCGGGATTCTAGCATTCTAGTTCTTTCCTGAAGGAGGTAGCATGTTCTGATGCCAACTTTCCATTCTGTTTCCCAATCATCAGTTGGCCACCAGGTGCCACGTGTGCAGCCACACGGTGCTGGAAACCTTTGTTTCCATTGGCTGTCATTCCTCCATGTGCAGTGTCGGGGTCATGGCCTTGGACCATGGGAGATCTTGTGCTGCATCATCTGTTCTGGAACAGGCCCCAGTCCAACCCTCTCTATCTGTCTGTGTCCTATATTAGATCCCAGGTTCTGTGTCTCCTTCCATTCTCCAAACTCACAATGCTGCAGCTGCTGAGTTCTCTCTTCCTTGTGGCCCTGGGTAAGCCCCTAGCCTGAGTCTGCGTTACCTGTGCCACCCTGGGCCAGGAACCCTGAAATCTGTTCGCCACTCTGGGTCCTGTGATCCCAAAAACTGCTTCCATGCACCTGGGGTACAGGAGTGGAATCTCTCAGCTTGGGGCTGGGGAAGAAAACAGAAGGGAATCAGGGGATGGACTAGATAAAGAGAAGAATGGGGAGTAGCCCCAAAGGTTGTGGAGGGAGTCCTTGGTGGGACCAGTGAATGAAGTCGAGTGGTTAAGAGTTTAACTGTGCTTTGACTATATAGGATGGAATTTCCACTCCTCTGCTGAATGCACCTATTCTCCACTCTCACTCCCTCTACCATTGCTCCATAGCCTGTGGTTCCATGTTGTCCTGGATTCGGTCACATTACATTGCACCTCAGGGCCACCTCTTTGGAGAAACCTCCTTGACTTTCAGCTATAATAACAGATACCATCTACTGAGTGCTTATATGTTCAGCAGGGAACTAAGGAGTTTTTCTTACATGATCTCATGTCATTCTCATGTCCCCTTTTACAGACAGGGAAAGTGACCTATGAGAGTTCAAGTAGCTCATTCTCCAACAGGGGGCCAGGCTGTGCTTTGAACCCAACAAGTATTATATATTTATCAACTCCCCAGTGCCTCTAACTTTCAAAATAATTTACTGTGTATTTTACATCATATGGAGTGGAAGGGAGGGATGAAGGGAGTGGAGAGGTAGAGAGTGAGAGCATGAGTGAGAGAGGGAGAGAGAGACTGACAGTCATGTAAGTCTCTTCCTCAGGTTCATTCTGCAAATGCCTGAGTGAAGCCAGTATCAGTGGGTAGCTGGGACCCAGATACTTAGGCTATCACTGCTACCTCTGAAGGTAGACATCTACAAGAAAATGGAGTTGAAAATGGGACCAGACCTAGATACTTGACATGGGCTGTGGGTGTTTCATGGGGTCACAAACCAAAGCGCCAGTGCTCATCTGAAACCTGCACCGTGGTAGCAGCCATCACTGTGAGAGGGCTTGTTGTTTCCAGGCACTTTTTAAAGTGTTACCAAGGTCCAACCATTTAATTCAATCCTTGGAATACTGGAATTCTGGAAATCCTTACGTTAGTCCCAGTGGTCACTATTCCTAGGTGGGTGCTGAGGGTCAGAGAGGGAAAGGGCTTGCTTGGGTAACATGGCCTGTTTACGGAATAGCTAGGACTGGGATCCTATTTGCCTTTCTTATTGTGGTCCACTTAGTTGATGACTCTTCTCTCTTCTCTAGTCTCAGGCTCACATCCACCAATCCACATCCCCTCCAGCAACGTCTTCAACCCCTCCAGTCGTGTGGTCAATGGTGTGCCTGTACAGCCCCACAACAAGTGGCCATGGCAGGTAAGAGTAACCCCAGCAGCACTGAGTCACACTGTGGGTTATGGATGCCATATCCTGATTACCAGACCTCCAGTTCTGACCCTGTGCCCAATTCACATTCTTAGGTCCTGGAATCCTGGAACAGTAAATTTTATGTTTTCGGGTTCCATCTACAACCTTCATGGATCTGTTTGTTAATAAAAAGAGTGGTCTGGGTCAAGAAGAAGGCTTGACTTTAGGGGCCGGAGCAGTAATAGAAGAATCCAGGCACTGTATGGGAGGAAGGGCTGGGAACTCAGTTCCAGTTCCTGGAGTCCCACAGCAGGGCTCTGAGGTCTGGAGCACAGAGTGAAGAGTTGGATCAGGGCAGTGGAAGGCAGCACCCAGGGTAAGGGTTATTATGCTGCAGAACACAGTAGCCATTAGCTTCATGTGGTATTGAAATGTGAAATAAATAAATTGAATCATGTCCAACATTCAGTTCCTCTGTGCCAGTCACATTTCCACTATTCTGGAACCATATGTGGCCAGTAGTTGGCACCATGAAGAGCAGAGACAGAGAACATGTCCAGGGCAGAGTCAGCAAGCATGTTCTGGGAGGGAGCAGAAAGTGAGTGCTGTAGCCCTGTCAGCCACATGGCTTCTCCAGCAGTGACTTAGCCCTGCCATTGCAGCAGGAAAGCAGCCAGAGAGCATGTGTGCCTGAGTGAGCGGCCTGTGTGCAGTCAGCATCTGTGTGCACACAGACCACAGCCTGCCTGGTGCCATGGGCTATAGTTCACCAACTTTGTTTCCTAGTGAGATTTTGAGAATCTGAATGTGTAGAAAATAAGAAGGGAGGTAAAAGAGTCAGGGTGAGTTGTACTTGAAAGATCCAGAGGCCTAGAAGAGCTGAGTTGTAGGAGAATGTGGCCTGAGGGACCCGAGTCTCTTGGGGATACGCAAAGAGATGGAAGGCTTGGCCATACACTAAAAGCAGGGAATGTGGGAATCCTTAGGGAGCGCACAGGACCTGGGATGGGGAGCCCAGAGAATCACAATGATCCCCGGATGAATTGACAAGACCACAATAGCAGGTATGCAGGTCGTGCAGTTTTCAAGCTATATGACAAACTCTCCTGTGGGCCTGAACGTCTCAGACTGTTTCTTCTGGGCCCCCAGGTCGCCTTGCTGTATGAAATGAATGGGGGCCTGTACTTCATCTGTGGTGGGTCCCTCATTGACCCCAACTGGGTTATGACGGCTGCTCACTGCTTCCCGTGAGTTCTCCTGTGATTTTCCCTCCCAGTCCTGGTCTTTGTCCCTGTGAGACACAGACAACCAAAGACAGTGGCTGACTATGGGAGACTGACAGTTGGGCCCAGACTGACCTTTTTTCCTCTGGTAGTTACGAAGGAACATACTGGGCTCTGCTGGGTGCGTACAATCTGTCAGCGATACCAGCGACTGCACAGGTCATCCCGGGTCAGTCATACATCGTGCATGGAGATTATAATGCAAGTAATGCAGCCAATGGGTGAGTAACTCCCAGCCTGGGACCAGGCTACTATGTTCTTCCCTCCATGACCATAGCTCATCTAGGAGACTCCTAAGGACAGTGGGGAGGGTGAGCATTGTGGGCCCAGCTCCCACACACTGGGTAGAAACTCAGAGACCAGCAGCACCAACCTCCCTCCCTGCACAGGAGACAGCAGGCCAGGGAAAGTCAGGAAATCCCCCAGGGCTGCTGGGCTCAGTGTCCCTGGAGCTCAGGACTGTCAGGGCCATTCCCCAATCCAAGGTGTCCTGTGCTCAGCGGAGGTTCCTCAACACAGCCTGGGTTTCTGGATGTGTGGGCAGAGGAGGAGCACTGGACTGAGAATCAGGCTATGGGTGCCCCTCCCTGAGTGTCCTGGGCAGTCAGTGCCCTGCTCCGGGCCTCAGATTTCCAGTTGTCCCAGGTGACCCTGCAGCATGACTTTGTGGTGGTGGTGATGGGCATGGAGGCGTTGGTCAGTACTTCACCTGTGTTTCTGGAGGCTCAGCCCTTTCTGGTGAGAGATCACAGGAGGTGGCAGGACCCTCCAAATGCAGTTCAGGAGTAAAAACGCAGTGAGGAGACTCTGGTCCATTCCCCAAGGGCCTCTCAAGCAGTCAGGAAATTCAGAAGTGCTCATCTAAGTGACAGACAAAGCAATTGTTCCCAAAATGTGGGCTGTGGGGCAGCAACACTAGTGTTCCCTGGGACACTGTGAGTAGTGTAATACTTCGGGCCTTAGCAGATAGCCTCAGAAAGCCTGGGATTGACCTCTGAAATTTGTGAGGCATTAACAATTTTTACTTGTTTATTTATAAGGTAGACACACACAAAGTGAAAGAGAGAGAGAGAGGAGAGAGAGAGAGGGAGAGAGCAAGCTTCCATCTGCTGCTCTGGTTCTAGTCAAATGCTTGCAACACCTAGGGCTGAACCTGCCAAAAAACAGGAGGCTGAAATTTTCTCAGAGTCTCCCAAGTGGTCAGCTGACACCCAAGCACTTGAGCTGTCACCTGCTTACCCAAGAAGCTGGAATGGGAAGCTGAGCTTGAGGTTGAATGTAAGCAGTCTGCTGTAGAATGCAGCCTAAATGGAGTGTGCCTATGCACACTCCAAAATGTGATACAAAACCCTCCAGGGTATTATGATACAGCTGGAGTGATGACCTCAAGTGGAAGCCAAGGACAGTTATGAGTACCACTTACTGGCCCGACTGAAATGGCAGGGGGTTTTGAATAAGTCTGCTGTGAATTTGCTGGACGTAGTTGGGGTGAATCAAGTGTTGATCATTTGGAAAAGGACCACTGTCTAAGTTATTCTTCCTTCTGCATAGCAATGACATCGCTCTCCTCAAGCTATCACGGAGTGCTGAGCTGACAGATGATGTCCAGCTGGCCTGCCTCCCTCCTGCTGGCTACTGTCCGCCCCATGGGGCAGAATGCTACATCTCAGGCTGGGGTTCCACATACAGTACGTACTGACCAGGGACAGAGATAGAAAGACAGAGTTGGGGAGGGAGTCAAGGTTCATGATGTACTTGGTATTGTTGCAAACAAAATGTGCAAGATATTGGAATTGGTGGGAAGTGGGTCATACCATCATACCTGATCATTCCACCTCTGGAAACATAGTCCAATTTCAGACTTACACTGTTCTCTGTCCCCACAGCTGGTGGGCCAGCCTCAAGTGTTCTAATGGAGGGGTTGATGCCAGTGGTGGACTATGAACACTGCTCCCAGCCAGACTGGTGGGGCTCAACTGTGAATGAATGTCATCTGTGCGCTGGTGGATATGATGTCTCTGGCTGTAACGTAAGTTGGCTCACACTTTGCCATGACAGAACATAGCTCTCTTGTTCTCTCTGCCATGTCCATGGAGGTGGAGGAACTGTCATCTTTTCCAGCCCCAGCCAGGCTCTAGGCCAGGCAGGACGTAGAGGACAGCACAGCCCACACACCCTGACTCCTGGCCCAGATCACACGCTCCCTCTCACCTGGGACCATCACTGTCCTCCTGCTGCTCAGGCTGCCCCAGCAGCACAGCAGGGACACTCACACTACCACCTTGAGTCACCCACTCTGGGCTCTGCAGGGATCCTCAACCACTGTGCTGTGGGAGCTGAGTCCTCCTAGGCAGCAGGGAAGATGCTGCCAGCAGGGGGCGCTGGCGTCTCTTGGGGCTCCTTCTGTGTCAGGGGCTGTGCTGAAGTCCTGTGTGGGTCCCAGCAGCTGTGGTAGCACAGACCCTGGTCCTGGCCAGCTGAGGCCCTGAGGCTGGGAGAGGTGCAGCAGTGTGGGTGTGTCTGCCACCCCAGGTCTAGGACAATTCAGCCCCCACCCCTCTGACCATCACAGGGTGACTCTGGAGGACCGCTCAACTGCCCTACAGAGGATGGATGCTGGAAGGTCTGCGGTGTGGCCAGCTTTGTTTCTGCCCGTGGTTGCAACACTGAGAAGAAGCCCACGGTGTTTACTTGTGTGGGTTGCTTCATTGAGTGGATTGAGGAGGTAAGGACTGGGCAGCCAGGAGGACTTCCTGGTGGGGCTCTCCTGAGAGTGACTTGGTTGCCAGGGAAGAAAGGTCTATTCCTGGTGAGGTGTTGCAAGGATCCTACAAGGGGGAGGGTACTTGAGGACATTTCCGAGGGGCCCAGGGATGTGTTCTGCTCTGTGTGTCCCCAGAACTTCCCAGGCTTTGGGTGGAGCTTTGTACTTCCTTATTCAGTGAGGGTTTTTCAGTGTTTCCTCTGGTCAGTACTTACTTGACATAGAGGACAGATGGACATGTGGCCACTGGTGGAGGAGTGATAATGGTAAGCTGCTGAGAGCTGTGGTGGACAAGCTCAAGGAGCCAGTCCTCATCCATGACAAATGGTCATGACAGCAGTGACCATCACTCAGAGAGCATATAAATGTGTGCCAGGGACACTGATGAGAGCCTTGGTGGTTTAATCCTGAAACCACACGAGGTGAGTACTATGATTACCACTCCCATTAGAGGAGGAGTCAGAGAGGGCAAGTCGGTTTCCCAGGCCACTCAGGGAATGAATGGTAAGGCTGCGAGCTGACCCAAGTTTCCTTCGATTCCATAAACTATGATGATAATTTGACTTTCTTTCCCCTTACTGTTCTTTTTCAGAACATTGGGAAAAAGCTCCCACAACCATGCTGCTCCCATGTCCCTTAGAAAGAATAAAGATCTCTGAGCAAGTTCCCAGTTGCATCATCTTACTTCATTGCCTCTTTTCCTCTGGCCTGTTCCTGAGATCTGGGAGTTGATTTACAAGGATGAGACCTGAGTCAGCCTCTCTGTGAGGACAAGAATAATCTGAAGCACAGGGAGAAGGAAGGAGTCATCATGAGGTTATCAACCTTCTTGTTTGACCTGGGACTGGGGTTTCGCAGATCCAGGACTTCCAGTGTAGAAACTGAGGCAGTCCCAGGACAATTGGATGAGCAGGTCCCCTAGGATAGAGTCCCCAGAGAGCCGTGGCTTTTCCATGCAGATACAGCACACAGTGACACCTGTGGAGAACCTGAACTTGTCCCCTCTTGGGAGGCTCGTGGTGGAGTGGGAGGACCAGGGGTTTCTGCCTCCACTGACTGGCAGGAGGAGGGCTGTGGTCATTCACTCACTCAGTATCATTCATTCTTTCCTTAATTCAGAGGAAGGTTCTGAGAGTGGGAGATGTGAGTCCTGTTCTGAAGTGGTTCATTGTTTACAGAGAAATGCACAAGATAAAGTGTTCAGAGAACACTTGCTGGCTCTCTGTTTATGATAGGCTCAGGCTTGGAGTCCAGAGGTCTGTGGGGTAACCCCAGGGAGAGTCCTGACCACAGAGTGATGGCACACACAAGCACAGGGACAAGTTCAAGGTACACATAGTCTGGAGCCCAGCAAGGAGTCTTAGAGTTCAGAACAACATCTGCTGTGCAGGCAGAAGAAACACAAACACAGACATGGTGTTCCTCTTGAACTCCACAGAAAGAAGTCATGGCTCCCAGTAAGGACACATGTCAATCACTCTCAGTATGCATGTACTTCATTGCCCCCCTTCTTTTAACAGTCTTACATTTTTTGCATCTTGTGTTGGTGCATCAATGTAAAGTGCTGGCCCGACAGTGGCTCCAGTATTGGACTGCCTGTTTGAGTCCTGGCTACTTCTGCTTTCAGTCCAGCTCCTTTGCAATTGGCCTACTAAAACTCTAGATGATCCCAGATGCTTGGCCTCCTGTCACCCTAGATGGAGTTCCACACTCCTGGCTTCCGAGTGTCCCAAACCTGGTTGTTTTGTTTTGGTCGTATAGGGAATAAACCAGCTAATGGGAGAACTCTTTCTCTCTCTCTTTCTCATTTTTTTTCAAAATTTTTTTTATTGTATTATGTGACACAGTTCAATATAGGCACTGGGATTTCCCCCCACCCCTCTCCCACCCTTCCCCCCATGGTGGGTTCCTCACCCCCCCACACCCCTCCCTCCGTGGTGCAACCACAGTTCAGGTTTAGTTGAGATTCCTTCATTGCAAGCATACACCAAGCATAGAGTCCAGCATCTCATTGTCCGGTCAAGTTCAGCGGCTTCTTGGGGAGACCCTCCCCGGTCTGAAGGCAGAGCCAACAGAGTAGAATCCCGGTCAATTAAAAGCCCCAACATAACATCAGCAACAATATATAACGTTAAGGGATAAATTGACAAAGTATTGAGCAATGAATTTGTCAAAATTGGGTGCATGGTCTTAACAACTTCCCGTGACTATTTCAATGACATTTCAACAATTGAGGTGCAAAACAGTTTTAGGAAGGGTGTGCAGAGAAATCTTCCATACCTTGGTGAGGAGTACTTAATCCCCGTGTCCTACCTAGTAAGGTGTGTGAGTCCATGCTGACCCAGCCTTCCTTGTTGTTCTCTGCCTATCCTTTCCAATTTGTGTGTGTGTGTATTGGGGGTGGGGGCTCTGGAGCATCCCTCATGGTCATTGCAGAGAGGGTGGGGACCTGAAGTTGGATCTAAGTAAGAACCAGAGATAGCTCCTCTCCCTAGTCCTGAAGGGAGTTTACTGTTCTTCTGTTTCTGAAGTCTGCTCAGGTTTCCTGATTGTTGTTCCGATGGCCTTGGATCCTATTATGAAGGATTCAGCTTCTTCCATCCCGTGTGGTAGGTCCAAATGGTGGGGGGGGGGGATGTCATCTGATTCTCAGCCTGTGAAGGCATTCCAGTCCCCCGTGGTCTCTTTGGCAGTTGGGATGTGGTCCTTGGCACCCATACTGATAGTCATTGGTGGGGATCCGGGAAACTCCAGGTTTGGGATACAAGCCTCCTCCTGTCCACCTGCTCCACTCTGTGGTCCCCCACTGCTCTGTGCACAGGACCTCCTGTTAATAGGTTGTCAGGGTCGCTCTTGATTCCCCCTATATGTCTTTGTAGTTTTACTGTTGTCTAATGTTGCCTTGAATCTATTGTCTACAAGTTACCTGTTATGTGCCTGAGAGGTTACACTACACGGCTTCCTCACATGTTCACAGGAGATGGAAGGTTTCTTTGCTCTCCCGCCCAATTTCTGAGTAGTAAAAGGTTTTGAAAATTATTTGATTATACAATTTAGAAAACACATGGCTTGAAACCATATTAGCAGAGGTCCGTCAGGGGAGATTTACATCATTGGGAACCTTTAGGGTTGATTCATGTACCCAAAGCCCTGAGGGTCCATCATGGAGCTTTCTAAGCAGCAATCATAGAAACCAAATCCCAGAGCTCCCTGGCTGGGTGGCCAGCAGGCAGAGCCTCCCGCCAAATGGCACACTGGCCGCCCAATACCGGCTCCGGATGTACGCATGGTAGTGGCCAGGTGCGAACCAGGCATGGAACGCTACTTGTCCTGGGGCCTTCCAGCCCCCATGCAGTGACTGGAATACTCTTTGGTTTTCTTTTTGCACCTGCTTGTCTTTTCCTGTTTTCTGTTTTGCACCTGTTGGGACCTGGGTCTCACCTTTCCACACAGGCAGTGGGAGATGAGCTGAGGCTCCTGGTGGCTCTAGGCGCTGAATCTCACCCATGGCTATGGTCAAACCAGGGCGATTTTCATCCAGCGCCAGTCTCTTTCTCATTTTTAATAAAGATTTATTTATTTTTATTGCAAAGTCAGATACACACGTATATAGATATAGATATCTATATAGATTTATAGATACATGTATATATACATACATGTACATATACACATATATCTATGTATATACATGTATAACTACATATATGTATATATCTATAGATATCTCTATCTATCTATCTATCTATAGAGAGAGAGGAGGAGAGACAGAGAGGAAGATCTTCCATCTGCTGATTCATTCCCCAAGTGGCTGTAATGGCTGGAGCTGAGGTGATCTGAAGCCAGGAGCCAGGAGCTTCTTCCGGGTCTCCCAAGCACACGCAGGGTCCCAAGGTTTTGGGCCATCATCGACTGCTTTCCCAGGCCACAGGCAGGACTGCTGGGATTAGAACTGGTGCCCATATGGGATTCCAGTGTGTTCAAGACAAGGACTTAAGGGGCCCGGCGCGGTGGCACAAGTGGTTAAGGTCCTTGCCTTCGAACGCCCGGGATCCCATATGGGCGCCGGTTCTAATCCCGGCAGCCCCGCTTTCCTTCCAGCTCCCTGCCTGTGGCCCGGGAAAGCAGTCGAGGACAGCCCAAGGCTTTGGGACCCTGCACCCGCGTGGGAGACCCGGAAGAGGCTCCTGGCTTCGGATTGGCATAGCATTGGTCGTTGCGCTCACTTGGGGAGTGAATCATTGGACGGAAAATCTTCCTCTCTGTCTCTCCTCTGTATATATTCGCCTTTCCAATAAAAGAATAATAAAAATAAATCTTTAAAAAAAAAAAGACAAGGACTTAAGCAGCTAATCACTGTGCATGGCCTTCTCTCTCATTTTTGTTTTTTTCTTTTTCTGTCACTCAACTACAGTTTTGCATATTTAAAAAATAAAATTTTATTGTATATAGTGTATATGTGTTTATGATGTATACGTTTTTTTCAGTAAAGCAGGCATTTTCACCTTGTGAGAAATATACCCATACAGTACATCAGAGCACCTGGCTTGGCAACTTTTGCCCAGATTCTTCAGACTCATGTACTTTTCCTGTAATGTAAGCTACTTTGTCTTTCAAATGTGAGAGAAGACATGCAGTATTTGTGTGCTTCTGGCTTATTCAATGTAACACCTCATCCTCCTCCAGATGCATCTGTGTTGCTGTAGGTGAAAGGAGCTCATTCTTAGCAGACTTTTCTGAAAGCTCGACAGAGGGGATGACCCTACAGCTCAGCTGAGAGCACAGCAGTGCAGATTCAGCCCTTCATAGTCTTGACCTCTCCTTCCCTCCCTACCCCTTCTCTCCTTTCTTCTTATTTCTGGCCTTCCACCATGTAGATATCTAGTAGAGCTTTCTCTGTAGCGCCTGCCTTCATTCTGGAACTCCCACATTCACAAGACCCATAGTTGCCTGAGCCTGAA